TAAGCAACAGTAAACAAGCTCTGATTACGCAACCAACTAACCAGATGTTTTTAAAGAATTATTTTATTCCATAACATTCCCAGTAGGATATAGGACTTCAAGCTACAGCTTTGAAGATTCTGTAGCGATGGTTTTCATTTATACGGGATGGGGATTACTAACCTAATCCCCATCCATCCCTCTTGGCCAGTCTTATTGCCAGTTTCGCGAGGTTTAGTAGTGCATCCATGGCCTGGGATGGAATCATGGACCACATATGGCGCGGTTGTCGGTCACTCAACTATTGAACCACCAGCGCTCGTGACGGCTATCGACAAAAGGGGGTGTGTACTGCTCACCAGTCCGCTCCGTCCTCCTTTATGGCTGTGAGCGAGACATGGCCATTGAGAGTGGAAGACATGAAAAGATTAGCTGTCTTTGATCATAGGTGCCTGCGTTCTATCTCCCGTGTGAAGTGGTATAATAAGGTGAGGAATATTGAGGTTAGGCGTCAAGTGCTAGGTAGGTGGGAGGGGAAATCAATAGACGAGGCTGTGAAGCCACATCGACTAAGATAGTTAGGACATGTGTTACGTACTCATGCCTAGCCTAGTCATCGCCTTCCTCAACGAGCAATGTTAGCTGGCATGGTGTCAGGCTGGAAAAGAGCTAGCGGCGATTAAACCAAAACATAGCCTCGCCAGTCAATGAAATCCACAGCAGTTAGTTTAAGCCACGTAGGAAGGTGGAGACTTCCTGGTTGGAGTCCTCGGGACGGTAGAATCCAATGATGACTGGAGACAGTGGGTGATATGACTCAAAATCGTTCTCAATGGCTAGCGCAGATGCATCCAATCCTTTGTACTGGAAATTATATATATATATATAATAACAAAGCTACTATTCTCTAACTAATTAATACGGATTTGGAAACGTTTACTTCGTGATATGAGTTTAAAACAAGCAGTAAAACCCGTTTGAAGAAGCCCCCTTCTCCCTCCCGGAAAGTGCTATCAATGCACTAAATCATACAGATTTGTACGTGTTAACGTGTATTTGTTATCAAATGATACTATGAAGTGTTATATGTATATAACTGATGGGTTAGAGTGAATAGTTGTTTAAATAATACTCACTAAAACTAAGATGAACAAAATCCACAGCTGTTTGAATACTGTCACTTTACCATGTTTAGACTCTACATAGACAGTTCACAGCACTTTAGATGCAACTGCCGTCTTATATCATTCCAGTCTATACAAGGGGGTTAAATTTGTTCGTTGTGCCTTCCTAGACTATACATCTGCTTTTTACACGGTCCCTAAGGACATCCTATTAAATAAACCTGTTGCAAGTCAAACAGAATGTTGGGCTGTTAACTGGTTACATTCCTATTTCTCAGAAAGAAAGCATTGCACCGTATATAAAGGGAAGTCTTCCACTTCATTGCCTACTGAAGCTGGTGTCCCTCAAGGCGCTGTCCCTTCTCCTTTTCTTTTTTCTTTCTTCTTACATGACTTGCCTCACTCTGATGAAATAAACTTTGTGAAGTACGCTGATGATTTAACAGTTTCAATGGCTGTTAACTCCCAGCTAGATTGTACAAAAATGAATAGCTTTCTATCGGGAGTCAGTAAATGGTCTGAGTCTAACGGTCTTAAACTGAATCCTTCTAAATGTCAAACTGTTAATTTCAGCTTAAGATGTAAACAACACTTAACAGAAGTCATCGATTCTCATGACAGTTGTAAAATTGACGACAATGATATAGGAATCAAATCAGAAATTAAGTATCTTGGACTTATTCTCTCTTCTAATCTCTCCTGGACTTCCCATGTCTTAGCAATCTCCAGTAAAATATTCCGCCTGACATTTTACATTAAGAAGTTAAGACACTCGGGTATAACTCAACCCCTCCTCTTACAGTTCACAAACTCTTGCATCTTACCTATTCTTCTTTATTGTTCACCCTTATTCTTTCGTGGTTTGCTTAAAAAGGACCATGTCACAATTCGTTGAATGCTGAAGACTGTCAGTAGGATGACAGGTGTCCCAAAGTACCACATAGTTAACGTCGTTATCGATAGGCACTTGACTTCGTGCAATAAATTTGCTGGAGGGATTTTGTCTGACTTGGAGCATCCACTTTACCCTCCCTCAGCTTTCACCTTGCATCTCCTCAGGTAGAACAAGGAGTAACTTCAGAAAAATGTATGATCGCACGTCTAAGTATAGAAATTCTATGATACCATACTTGGGACGTATTTTATGCGATGAAAATAGTGTCAGGCAAGAATTAACTAACCTTTTTAATCTAGTAAATAAACAATTTCCTCCATCCATCCTTATATACCTTCAAGTTTTACTTTTATTATTTCTATTATATTTATGGTCCTGTTGTTTCTTCGCTTGTTTTACTTTCATAATTGCAAACACCAACTTATCTCTATGACTACTGTAATCTTTGTTTTTCCCTTACCATATCATGTAAAGAGAACATTATATTCAATATTTTTAAACATGCTAGGATTTCTATACCGCATTGACAATACTGTGTGTAACAAGTCCGTAGCAATTTTCACTTGTATTCTTATTAATATTATTACCTTAGCTGTTATCATTATTATTGATATTTCCATTTTATATGCTGCATGTTTTTGACACTACCTCTATTGTAAATGTGGAAAATTTTCTGTGTGATTAACTTTATTTATAATTTGAGGAAATTACATGCAATATTGTGATTAATGCTGAAAACTCCATTCTGTATCACAAGTACTGTTTTGGAATAAAGTAAATCATTATTATTCTTATTAAAATTCAGTTGGTTTGTTGCTTTAGTTGGCTGACTGAGTGATCGACTGAGTCTGGACACAGAACTTTGCACTGAAGTGTACTAATTCAAGTTGCCACACTCCATACAGCATATAGGTTGAAAAAAGTTCATTAAAAAGAACCATAATAAGCAGAAATGTGAGGGAGAAACAAGTGTAACACACTTGAAAAAAACATGAGGGTTTAATGGTATTAATGTAACAATGGAAGGCAAGACATGTAAGGCAAAGTATATTTTCTATTGATCAAACCACTGTGTATATATCTAAAGTGTTTATATTCATTAACCAATCCCTGATTTCAACTACAGGCGGAACTGACGAAGATATCAAAGCAAGGATCGGGAAAGCAAGACAAGCTTTCATTAGTCACAAGATCCAGATTTTCAACTCCAATGTGAAGTCAGTGCTACTCACTGTACGGATCAGAGACTTGTCCAGCGCGTCCATAAAGAGCACCTCAAACAAACTGCAGACCTTCATCAACAGCTGCCTTCGCCCAATAGTCAAGATCAGGTGGCCGGCCAGAAAAGATCAGCAACGGGGACTTCTGGCAATGAGCGAACCAGCCAGCCAGAAACCGACTGTGCAACAAATATGCAGGAAGAAATAGAGGTGGATTGGCCATAATCTGAGGAAACCATCAAGTGACATCACTAGACAAGCCATCGCCTAAGTGGAACCCGAAAGGGAAGCGGTGATTTGATCGTCATTGCTAGGGTGACTTGGAGGAGGTCATGTGAAGAGTAGATGAAAGCATATGAGCAGACTTGGAGCCAGGTGAAAACTCTAGCAGAGAACCGAACTCAATGGAGACGTTTGGCTGAAGCCCTATGTTCCTCCAGTAATTAAAGGAAATAATAATAAACAATCCCTGAGCGTATGACGTCGGTTTATATCAAACGACATGAAATAGAATGTTCAAATATATACATAGTATTCTGTTGCCAGTGCACTATTGAACTGTGGGGGCATGTGAAAATTACATTCCGATAGTACGCATAGTCTGTGTCACACTACCATAATTATTGATGACAAAGAGTGGATGCATCTGGGCCACTGATAACAAATTTGAACCATATCTAAAATAGTCTCCAGACATTGGATCCTAACAACACGAAAGAACTTCAACCAGGCAGCCAACACTACCATATATGACTGACTCAAACCAAACGTGAAAAACTTCATGAATTGATGCACTTTTCCAACCTAATGTCCAGGCATTTACTCTTTGCATCGCAAGAACCCTAACCTGGCAGTCTACTCTACACCTCTTTACATGAGTAGCACAAACTAACTGTCCAAGACTTCAGGGATTGACTCCATGTTTTAATGTGACCGTCCTATGTCGGCTAACATTATTCGTCGAAGAAGACTATTGCTCAGGACATACAACACTTATCCTAGCCATTTCAGTCGATATAGTTTAATAACTCAGTCGATTGACTTAACCTTCGTACCTAAAACTATACTCCTAACCACAATATGGTAAGCAGTACTGAGGTTAGGAGTTCTTACTGTTGAGTAAGAACAGTAAGTCACAGTCGATCTCTTTCTGTCTGTTTTCGACAGATAACTTTGCACATATGTGCAGAAGTTCAAGTCGCCACACTCCCTCCATGTAGCACACAAAGCAAGAGAAGAAGGTAGAAGAAATGAATAATAGAGACAGTAAACAGAGGTGTGAGACAAAAGGAATAGTAATAAGGAAGAACAATATAGTTTCATAGGAAATGATAAGTCCCAAGGAGTGGATACATCTGCGCTAGCCACTGAGAACGATTTTGAGCCATATCACCAATTTTCTCCAGCCATTAATTTTTACCGTCTCGAGGATCCCAACCAGTTAGGAAGCCTACCGCTTCTTATGCGGCTTAATGTTGTGGTTGTTTTGGTTTGACCGTCACTAGCTCTTTTCCAGCCTGATCCTATGTCAGCTAACATCGCCCACTGTCGAGGAAGGCGATGACTAGGCTAGGCATGAGTACGTAACACATGTCCTAACCATCTCAGTCGATGTGGCTTCACAGCCTCGTTGATTGATTTCCCTCCCACCTACCTAGCACTCGACGCCTAACCTCAATATTGTTCACCTTATTATACCACTTGACACGGGAGATAGAACACATGCACCTATGATCAAAGACAGCTAATCTTTTCATGTCTTCCACTCTCACTGGCCAGCCATAATGGAGGACGAAGCAGACTGCTGAGCAGTGCACCCGCTGTCGATAAAGTGGCGAAGCCGAATTGTGATCAAATGTTGTCATCTTCAGAGAGATTATATTTTACACATGGCAGAATATTGTTTTTTTTCTATACTCCAAATAACCGGTTCAGAACAGAAGAAGTCAGTTCTGATCTGATATACAAATATATCTGTTTTGAAGTGATGACAATATACTCATTTGGAAATCATTTATTTGAGTATTTCACACAGGATACCTTTTTAACATGTGTTCAGTTATAAAACAAAAAATATTTTTATGAATAAATAAAAATGAATTATTACGTGAAAAAAGAGAAGTTTTAGAAATCAAAAATAATAATTTCTACATTTTGTGCTCTATGATGTATATATAATAAATATACATTTGTGTAGCCGAAAGGAGAATATACACAAATAGCTAAAAGGAAGATAGTGAAATATTAAATTTTATCCCTTTCACTCAGCTGACTGACTGTTTACTCTCCAATTCATTTAACACCCTTTCAACCTAAATAAAAATATAAACGATATGAATAAACAAAAACAACGCCGTGAAATTGAACTTACATCACGAAATATATTAAATCGACTGTTGAACATTGGATTAAATTTCATAAAACGTTTAGGCCCCAGTATATGCAGATGTAAGTGATGCACACTATTGAATGGTGGCCAATGAAATCCAAATCTGAATTTTATTCACATGCGCCTAATTTATTTTCTATGGTTAAATAAAAAACTTACAAAAAATCTTCAGGATTTAAATGAAGTTGATTAGTGACAAGCTGTTTTCCACAATTTACCATTTCCCTGACTAATTTTATTTATTTAAAAGTGAAAGAAATAAAAATTGTTGGTGAAAAATAATCCAACACACAATTTACCTAGCGGTATATCTTTATGCGTTAATTTTTTAGGATCTCTTATATGCGTTTTAGGAACACACTGGAAATGATAACGAGCTTTAGGCGAACGATCATCGAATATGGCTACATTGTCAGTCTAAAAAATGAATTATAATTGTTATACATTTATTTACCTCTGAACGAATTGGTTGATCGGTTTTTCCAGAGGCAATAGAACAGAAGATACAATCACTTTTTATTTGTAACATTGGACGATTTTTATCTGTTATGAACAAAATAGAAGCGTAAATTATTTCTGTGATATTTTAGGAATCATATTTGAACATGTAGCGGTGAATAATTCCCTAAAATTATTAGCCTACACATAGTATTCTTCATTCAAAATTGACTTCTCACTTTCATTGTTTAGGTCAATTTGTTAGGCGATCAAGTTACACGATCAAGCGTCTTGGCGATTTGGCACGCTGTCGTGTCACGTTCACTTGTTCGTGCACAAACCCTATCTGGTTAAGCTAGTGTTTTTGACGATTAGTTTGTTGTTTTGATTTGTTTCTAGTATCAGTAGAATAAGTTCCTCGAGAGTGACAGGACAAGAACACTTGCGCTTGTAAACAGAGTATTTTGCATAACTGTAGGCATCCTTTATCTCCTGAAAATATTTATTAGTTAGTAGCAGGGCAACACTGAAACTCGCTATGCAACTTTAGGGTTATAAATTGTTGGTTTAAAAATACATGAGTTATTCAAAATCTTAGTACCAAGGAATAATCTCGTTGACTCACAATATGCCGACGATACAGTCCTTCTAGGCGAGGACGCTGACAAAATGCAGAGTTTTCTGAACACCTTGAGCTGCAATCTACGAATGTTTGCCATGCGATTCGCTCCCATCAAATGTAAGATGATGTTACAGGACTGGACTACACTGACTCCTAGCTTAGGAATAGGGAGTGATGTGGTAGAGCTTGTAGTGCACATTGTACCTTTGAACTTTTGTTTAAACTGACTCACCCACGGTGATCCACGTTTTACCTTTTGACTTGTGAGTCTTCCGTACGTTCATAGGTTCGCTCTCTTGTTGTGCTCTCTTTCTGCACACTCTCCGAGCCTACCTCCAGCAACGTCTGCAGATAAGTTGTACGACTTCTTTATTTATTGAATTTTATATTTCGTTGAATAAAATATAATTCTCCCAGGTACTCTTGTCACATCAAGTCTTTTTACAACGATACAGTTCGTCAGTATTTGCGCGTCGAGTAGTGTACTGCTAAGCTTAGCAGGTCGCAAAACGGTGAAGAAGTTTGTAAGGGTGTTTAGAGTATAGGTCCACTCTAAGCCGTAGTAGAACTCTTACAAGTGGTGAGCCCGTTTTCACCGTTTTCCGCTATAGTAGCTTAACGTGTTAACGATTCTTTTTACGTACCGTTTATTTTGTTATTTTTTTTCCTTTCACGCACGGTTATAAAGATTCGATTTGTTTTCTTTGTACTTATATTGGTTTTTTTATCACCTTGTTAATATTGTGCCCTGTGTGCAAGATGGCTGACAACAGTTCTGCGTCAGAGATGGCTATAACGCTGCAACTCCCCGCCTTCTGGACACATCGTCCAGCTGCATGGTTTAATCATATAGAGGCTCAGTTTGCCATTAGACACATACACTCACAAGAGACCAAAGTAAACCACGTGATTGTGAGCCTACCCGAAAGTGTCATAGACGAGGTGGCTGACGTTCTCGCAGATCCGTCTCCGGATCGGTACGAGCGGCTCAAACAGGCGTTAATTCAACGAGTCGCACTTACTGACCAACAGAAAGTGCAGGAACTTTTCCGCGATGTTCAGTTAGGTGACCGCAAGCCCTCACAAATGTTGAGGCAGATGAAGCAGCTAGTGGCGGACTTTAAAATTGACGAGGTTTTTCTCAAACAACTTTGGCTTCAAAGATTACCTCAGGCAGTCCAGGGTATCTTAGCACCGATCTACAAGTACCCCTTACAGGAGATAGCCGAGGCAGCTGATAGAGCCGTAGAGGCCATCAATCCCAAAATTGGCATTTCCGCAACAGTAACTGCTGCTCCCGCTCAGACTAAAGATTCGTCTGATGGGGGGTCATCAAGCTTTGACGCGGTGGCCCATATAGCCAAGCTATACGAGGAGATCTGTAGTATACGACAGGAGATGAACTCCAGGAGTCGTGGACGCAGTCCCTCGAGTTCGCGTAGTAGTAGACCCTTGCCACGTGCTAGCAGCAAGCGCCGACAGTCCCGAAGTAACCAGCCTGGAGTGTGCTGGTATCATCGACGTTACGGAGCAAAAGCCCAAAAGTGCACTCGCCCGTGCACCTTCGATGTTCAACAGTCGGGAAACTAGCAAGCCAGCACGTACTGGCGACTAACGTCGCTGGCGAACCACTCTCATGTCGCCTCTTCTATGTTACCGACCGTAACACTGGGATACGCTTCCTAATTGATACCGGAGCAGAGGTCAGTGTAATCCCACCCACAGTAGAGGAGCGCAGGCGGCCAATGTCTCTTCAACTACGAGCCGCAAACGGTTCGCCAATTGCTACGTTCGGCAGGCGCTTTATAGATCTTAACATCGGTTTGCGTCGTTCACTTCGTTGGGTCTTCCTGGTGGCAGACGTTACCACAGGTATAATTGGCATGGATCTATTGCAGCACTACCAATTACTGGTAGATACAGGTAATCATAAGTTAAAAGATCCTGTCACAAACCTCTCCGTCAGCGGTATCGTCACACAAGGCCCAGCCCTCAGCCCGGTATATGCCACACCCACTAGCACTGGTCCTTATTCGCATATACTGCAGTCTTTTTCAGATTTGTTCAAACCTAGCAGCGGCCTGCCATGTGCGACTTCCAACGTCAAACACCATATTGTCACTACTGGCCCGCCAGTTTTCGCAAAGCCGAGGCGACTATCCCCAGAAAAACTAAAGGTTGTCAAAGCGGAGTTTGAGCATATGCTGGAAATGGGGATTATTAGGCCATCCAGCAGCCCGTGGTCCTCACCGTTGCACCTGGTACCTAAGAATAACGGTTTAGATTGGCGTCCTTGTGGCGACTACCGCAGACTAAACGCACAAACTGTTCCCGATCGCTACCCTGTCCCGCACATACACGATTTAACCGCCTCACTCAAGGGAGCTCGAGTATTCAGCAAACTGGACCTTACACGGGCTTACTACCAGATTCCCGTCGACCCCGAAGATATACCTAAGACTGCTGTGATTACACCGTTTGGCCTGTTCGAGTTTCTTCGAATGCCTTTTGGCTTACGGAACGCTGCACAAACCTTCCAGCGTTTTATACATGACGTTTTGCGCGGGCTTGATTTCGCCTTCGCCTATCTGGACGATATCTTGGTAGCTAGTCCAGATGAAGCCACTCATCAACTTCATTTGCAGACAGTTTTCCAAAGACTTGTGACACACTCCCTCACACTCAACTTGCCGAAGTGTCAGATTGGAGTCACTTCCCTGAAATTTTTGGGACATAGGATAGACAAAGATGGAATTTATCCGTTACCTGACCGGGTAGAAGCTATTCAAAACTTCCCTCTACCCACTTCTCCCAAGGCACTACGCACTTTTCTCGGGATGGTTAGTTACTACCGTCGCTTTATCCCACAGTGTGCTCATATCGTGACCCCCTTGACTGACATGCTTAAAGGGAAATGCAAGTCTTTGGTGTTCACTAAGGAAGCCTCGACAGCTTTTGCAGCTATCAAGAAAGCTATTGCTGACGCCACAATGTTGGTCCATCTAGATGTTCAACTTCCAATCAGCATCTCCGTAGATGCCTCTAATACTGCGATCGGAGCCGTCCTTCAACAGCGTATGGCTAATGTATGGCTACCGATTGCTTTCTTTTCACGTAAACTTACCGCATGCGAATCTCGATACAGCACATTCGGTAGGGAACTTCTCGCTGTCTACGCTGCTGTCAAGCATTTTCGTCACTTCGTGGAAGGCCGGCAATTTACGGTATTTACCGACCATAAGCCATTGACGTACGCCCTCCACACTACTTCAGACCGGTATTCACCGCGAGAATCACGCCATTTAGACTATATTTCCCAGTTCACTTCTGATATCCAGCACGTTTCTGGATCGGATAACGCGGTAGCAGACGCTTTGTCTCGCGTATGTGCTACGTCCGTACCACCAACCATCGATCTTCATAAAATGGCCGAACTCCAACTGAACGATTTGAACTTAGAACACCTGTCAAATAAAACCTCACTGAAAATAGAACGCGTCCCCTTGCTAAACAGTGAGGCAACTATACTTTGCGATATGTCAACTGGTACTCCTCGACCGATTGTTCCCACGTCTTTACGCCGAACTGTGTTTGAGTCACTCCACAACCTCTCCCATCCTGGCATACGAGCAACGGACAAGTTGATTTCTGCGAGATTTGCGTGGCCCGGTATGAACCGTGATGTGCGTCAATGGACACGTGCTTGTGTGCAATGCCAACGTGCTAAAGTCACCAAGCATAACATCACGCCGTTGGGGACGTTTGCGACCCCAGACGCTCGGTTCCATCATATCCACCTGGATATAGTAGGGCCTCTGCCCCCGTCTAACGGCTGCTCGTATTTACTCACATGTGTGGATCGTTTCACACGTTGGCCGGAAGCCATTCCGATACCAGATGTAACGGCTCAAACCGTCTGTCGTGCCTTCATGGATGGCTGGGTTGCCCATTTTGGATGTCCCGCAACTGTCACTACCGACCGCGGACAACAATTTGAATCCACAAGCTTCAAAGAATTGTTAGAGATGCTGGGATGCAAACGCATTCGCACAACCGCGTATCATCCCGCGGCAAATGGCCTAGTAGAACGTTTCCACCGTCAACTCAAAGCTGCGTTGATGGCAGTGGACAACAGTAAGTGGACAGATTCGCTACCACTGGTCCTGCTTAGCATCCGGGCTACGCTTAAGGGGGATCTGCAGTGCTCGCCAGCTGAATTGGTGTACGGTACCACCATGCGTTTACCAGGCGAGCTAATCGCTCCCGAAACTTTCGAGCCAAATTTCCCGGATACCACCCGTTACGCTCAGCAACTTAAAAGTTTTATGCAGCGACTCCGACCAGTTTCCACACGCACTCAGAACCGAAAGGTTCAGGTTGATCGGCGACTTGATGACTGTACACACGTTTTCGTGCGTCACGACGCCATACGAAAGCCATTACAACCACCGTATGACGGGCCTTTTAAGGTCCTTAGTCGTAAAGATAAATTTTTCGTTATTGACCGATGCGGCCGCCCAGACACTGTCAGCATAGACAGACTTAAAGCGGCATACACTGAAGAACCTTCACCCTCCCCATCGGCTCAATCAAATAGCCCCACTGAACCTAGTCCTTGTCCAGACTCAACTACCTCACCTCCGGTGGTGAATGATGATTCTCCTACCGTCACCAGTAAGACCCCTGTCACACGTGCTGGTCGACGTGTTCACTGGCCCAAGAGGTTCGTAGAATTCTTTCACTGAACTAATCCATAGGTAAGGCTACTAGTGATTTTTTATTCCTTGTCACAATTTCTTATTCAATTCTGCTATATTTAATCTATTTGGTCCCGCTTCTGGGAGTAGTCGTTTTAACCCTCACTAATCCTTTTAATCTTTATCTCTCGTTACAGAGGACCAGCAGCAGTTTGTTTTTACCCCTAATTTTTCATATCAATCTACTCGCTAGATCAGTTGGCGTCTCATGTCATCTTGTAACCCACACCAAAAGAGGAATTATGAATAGTATATTACCTTTCCAAAAAAAAATTTAATTATTATTAAAAAAAAAATTTTATTAAAAAAATATTTAAAAAAAAAAGTAAAAAAAAATGTAAAATAATAATAAATAAACAAAAAAAATTTTTTTAAATAAAAAAAAAACAAAAAAAAACTTCCACTGTATAGTTAAATGTACAGATATACATATTTTTTTGCGCATAAATGCTTCACTTCTATGCTGTACATAGTAATCCGCTCAATTTATTTTCACAGCCTGTACTATATTCCTTCGGGTTTATGCCCTCCTGCAATTCATTTATTTTGTGAACCGTACTTATAAACATTATGCATCATCTTAGTTATGCACTTAGCAACATGAACAAAGTAATTTTGGTAATGATAACTACTCATAGCTATGGGTTATGTACTAACTTCTCTGTAATTTTATAAGTTCTCACAGGGTAGAAACTTCCTTTGTTTTATCTCATTCTAACGTACTACTTCCAAGTTGCACCACTTTTCCTCGCATTGATTTCGCACAAGCTTTTGTAGTACCTTTACACCGATTTTGAAATCTTAACCTTCTTTCCCATTTTCTTCTGTGTTTTTTTTTACCCTGCTCCTTATCATACGCTGGTATAA